CTTCAATAGAGTTCAAAAGAACTTGGACACGGTGGAAAACTCTTCCAAGTAATTGTTCTTAACGACTTTACTACTAAATAATGAGAAGTTTTGGATCGGCTTTTTGTTGATCCCTTCATTCCTCCACTTCCACCCGACAATGTTGTGACGTTAAAAACGCCGTTATTCATTCAGTAGAAGGTAAAAAAAAAAAAAAAAACAGTACCACATGCACTCTAAAAGAGCTACAAAATAAAAACATATCAGGACGATTTATCTGCCACAGTGATATTCCATTTCTTTTTTAACAAGCAAGATTTAGACTCTATGCCTTCTCGATATCGATGCATGCGCAAGTTTCCTGGCTACCAGGCTGCTTTACTGAATCAAAATTCAAAAGACATTTCAACTCCTTCTGACAGAACGTGTTACTTTTTTGGAATTAAACCTGTGACTCTCCAAGACTCGAAACAAGCTCGCGGTTTATCAGATCTTTTTAGGGGGGGGGGCAACGCGTCCTGCATCAGGAATGTTGTCGATCACATCATGTAATTTCCGCCTGAAACCTTATTATGCATCGCATCCCTGATTTATATAATTTTATTCTTAATTCTTCAGAAGCGCCAACTCTCCACTCTTCAAAACCCACAACCTCTTCGTCTTCCTCCAGACCTTCTTCACCAGACTCACCTTCGACCCAGTCATCCGTGAATTTTCCCAATTCGGTTCCTCCCAGTCCCAACGTCCCTTTGCACGCCAAAGCGTCCACGCCAGTTGTCGTCACTTCCGTGTGTACGGTTATTCTTGTGATGGCTGTCATCGGCATCGTATTTTACTCGTACTGAGAAAGCGGCGTCGATGTTATCAAGGCTGGTCAGTGAGAGGATATCGTGAACAGTTAAACGAGTTAGAGACCACGGTCTCCTTAAGAACGTAAAATTTCGAACAATATTTCATCATCTAGGAGTTTTATTAATGAGATTGTCTACTACTCACCTTCTGATCACATACCTGGCAAGTTCTCAAGCGAAAATCACGGTTTGCCAAAGAATCGGACGCAGATACAGGAAACAACTCTTAAAAAAAAAAGTTGGTACCCTTACCCTTATGTGGGGATTAGTGAAAACTGCAACGAGATTTGAATACTTGACCATAAAGAGACTGATGAACACTGATCATTGATTCAAATTCAAGAGTGGAATGAATGAATGAAGGAACGACGGAACGGTGGATGTATAACTGGGGAGAGGGATAAATAGATGAATGAAATATAAAAGATAGACAAGAACTATATCGAAAATAAGTAAATGATCGTCAATAGCAAGAAGTAATAGACCTTATTCACGATACCCACCATCTTTGCACGCGCTCTAGGATTGATGGGATAAAAGAAATGTCTCGCGGTATTTCAGGGGGCAAACAAGTGATAAAATGTGTCAATACGAGTTATCGCGGTCGAGTTTGTTTATCCTCTCAAAACGATAAGGTAATTTGACATTTGCAAAATACTCAGTTCAATTTTAGACTAGTTTCACGTCATTATTGCTTGCTGTGAGGACATCTACCGTCCCTACTGCATTAAAAAAATGTATCAACGATCACGTCCACCCATAATTTGCCATTATTGTCTTTAAGATAAAACGTTCTTCGTTTTTTGTTGCCAAAAATAAAAAAAATGCAAGCGCGATTTCTTGTATTGGCAGATTTTATCGCTTGTTTGCCCCCTAGGAAACCACGTGACAAGAAATTAATCCCACCAGTCCTTATGAGCGTGCAAATATAGCGGGTATCGTGAATGGGGTCTATATATTACCTCTACATGAGCAGGTCTCATTGATAAACATCATTTTCTGAAGGAGGGTTTTTTACTCGCTTGGGAATAAATATTGTGTTGAATGAATTATGAACGACAATAAATGTTTTCAAGTAATATGGATTCGATTTTTTTTTTAAATAATTTGCTCCCAGTTGAACTGCTCCAGCGGAAATTGTATAGAGCCGAGTCTTTGGAGGTGAATAAATGTGAGTTAAAAGGTCTTAAAAGATTCAGAAGCGGTTCAAATCATGAGGGTCAGATACGAGCAATATTTTAATCACGTTGTTCTCCGTTTGTTCACTGAGCTTATTAAAGCTGATTATAATCCAAAGTTTCGTCCCGGTATCAAAAACCCCAGACAAAGTAACCCAGATATCAAGAACGGTTCGCTTTTAATGGCCAAAAATGTAAACATTCTGTGTTGGGCTCTATTTCAAGATGCTCTCCTCGAACTTTCTACGTGTGGCAAGTGACTTACTGAGCATGTTTACATGGAGGTGGGGGACCCCAGATAGGTGTGGTAACATGCGGCGGGTCACCCTACCTATCATGTAACGGTGATCGAATCAGAAAATAAGATATTATATTGAGAGGCGGGTTACCTGTCCTACCTGGGGTCCCCCACCTCCTCTTGTCGCCCGCAAAACGCAGATTCCTTGAATACAATGATATTATACTTTCTCGTCGATTTCAAAACTGGCGAAAGCAGAGTTTTTGAAAGGTCACAATTTCCGGCTCATTGAGTAAACATTATTTTTTATGCCGCTTTGTATCGGACTCTTCGCACCTTACTTACAAATGTGTTGTGAAATGCAGTACTGAGCAGGGGGTTGAATTTGTGAGAGCTTGTGAGTGGAAAAGCACCAAAGGGCAATCAACATTCACTAGACTGTTTATTTCTATTAAAAACAGTCACGCAGCAAAGCTCAGAAACTTCTAATCAGTTCTCTAGCTACGTCAGATCTCTAGCTACGTAACCTAAGCAAAACATTTTCTAGCCTTCTGATTGGCACGAACAAGTTTTGTTCTACGTAGTAAAGAATTTAATCCATGAGCCATTCATTTAATGTCTCCAGTTACTTGTGTCTCTATGGGAATACATTCTAAGGGTAATCGTACATGGCCAGCAGCTCGTTCTCCTACTGTGCCGCATTCCCAACTGACTTAAAACGGACCCACAGTTCATGTCATCTCCTCAATGCGCCATTTATTAGAACTGCTTTACGGTTTCCGTTATTTGAAATAGTTGATGATTCTACTTTTCGATTTGAGGCATACCTCATCATCTGCGTCTCGCGGGCAAGTGCTTCCAACGTAAACAACTGCACTCTGCAACTGCCCGAGAAGAGTTTTTAGTAAAACTGCACATTTCTTATAGTACGCACCTGAATGTCCTCTTCCATACTGCGACCACCAAGGACCTTAATAGGGGCACCCAACCTACTGTTTTCTGTAAAATATCTGTTTGTAGAAGCAAATATTGCCTAGAACTTTTTATTACTTAAGGACGGCTAAAATTTCTTGTCGACCGGCTCCATTCATGTCCAAATTTCCAATAATTTAATAAATTCCTCATGTTTTTCTTAAGTTTAATTTTTCATATTTTACTCCTCAGGTTTGGCTTTTTTCCTTTGAAAAAAGGAAAACCTAAAAGTTTCGGGTTCTAAAATGTCATGGAGAGAGGAATCAGAATCAAATTATCACTTTGAGTTCGTAATACGTTAAACTGCATCTAAACTTTTCGGGAAAATAATACTAAAGCCCTTGCAATTATGAAAAGACTTAAGTTCCCCCCTAGGATGACCGAACAGATACAAATTTTATAGCGCCGCTTGTAATTCATTTTTAGAGAAATAAAAGTATGCTGGATAACCTAAAAAGTGTTTTCAATGGAAATTGCCCTCAAATACAAAGTAAAACAAAGCAAAAACAGTAAATTTCCTTCCAACTATAAGGCTAACCCAATCGATTTTGAAACGCAAATTTCCCTCCGTAGAAAAGCCCCTCCGATTATAAGCCCCTCAAAAAGGGTATTTGAAAAATATAAGCCCCGGGGCTTATTTTCGGAATTTAACGGTATCATTTTTATCTGAGTTCAAATTTCGCACTAACCCTGGGTTAGATCTTAAACCCAGCTTCGCAAACAACCCGGCCGTCAGGTTACGTTGTTTCAGTGCTGATTTGCATCGTTATTGTTTGTTGTAACAAAAGAAGGGCTCTATAACTTGTGGGAATTGAGCTTGTTTTTAAGAATTTTTGAAACAATATCAACGAATATAAACAGAAGCAACGAAACACCATTTTGACGATTACGTGAACCGGTAGGATTTAGTAAAACTTTTAAAATCTTTCTCTCACCGATTTGTTGCGCAGTTTACGATCAAAGCGACTAAAATCTATTGGTTTGTGTTTACGCACCAAAAACAGAAATAGTCAAACACAGCACGGTTTTTGTCATTTCCAGCCCGTATAATTAAATTATGCTAAGTTAAATAACTTGATTGTTGTTGTCCGGACTATCAGTACTCAGTCGTTAATATCCCTATAGGATATGAACCTGGATACGCGCAATGGTTTGATTCAGATGGCGCTGATCGGCATATCGCCGAACAAAGTAGCAATCTGAACTATAGTCGGCAACCGCACCAATAATGATACTGGAAAGCTCCGGTTTGTTGAAGAGTTGTCTTGCAGTTAATCGTTGCGATAGTTAATTGATCTTTTTTATTTTCGACCTTAGCGATCCTATATCAGGAAAGAGGCTTTATCAGAATCAAGACTGTATCTTTTCACGCGCGTCCAAGAACATCTTAAATTGTTTAAGCGGCCGGCCAGCAAGAAACATATTCTATATTTCTTAAAATTTCATTGTCCCTCATTTCATCTCATTCAATTGCAAATTACTACTAAATAAACCGAGTATCACAGAAACAAAAGGCACTATCCAATCACTTTCATCAGATTTGATGACGTCAGTCCTTGCTCATTGGCTGATACCTCCCCTATTGTTCTTTCTCTATATATTTGCCATACCACCCGGATGGTTTGGGCGGATCCGTAAATCACTGCACAGTATAACAACACAAAACCGTCTCAACAGAACACTTCAGCACAATACCTCCATCTTTCAAAACTTAATCCATATTCAATCAACTCATCTTTAACCGTAGTAGATTAATAACAGTGAACCCTTGAATTCCAATGACGGCTTCTCCACGCTTCGCGCCTCGTGGATTCGATTACCCTCGCTCAGGGCTGCCGAATAAGGGCCTGTTTACATGGAGTGGGGGACCCCGGTCTAGTGGGGTTGGTTTCTTTTGTTTTCACGCTCTGGGGAACACAAAACAAAAGAAACCTACCCCANATTGTCCCTCATTTCATCTCATTCAATTGCAAATTACTACTAAATAAACCGAGTATCACAGAAACAAAAGGCACTATCCAATCACTTTCATCAGATTTGATGACGTCAGTCCTTGCTCATTGGCTGATACCTCCCCTATTGTTCTTTCTCTATATATTTGCCATACCACCCGGATGGTTTGGGCGGATCCGTAAATCACTGCACAGTATAACAACACAAAACCGTCTCAACAGAACACTTCAGCACAATACCTCCATCTTTCAAAACTTAATCCATATTCAATCAACTCATCTTTAACCGTAGTAGATTAATAACAGTGAACCCTTGAATTCCAATGACGGCTTCTCCACGCTTCGCGCCTCGTGGATTCGATTACCCTCGCTCAGGGCTGCCGAATAAGGGCCTGTTTACATGGAGTGGGGGACCCCGGTCTAGTGGGGTTGGTTTCTTTTGTTTTCACGCTCTGGGGAACACAAAACAAAAGAAACCTACCCCACTAGACCGGGGTCCCCCACTCCATGTAAACAGGCCCTAAGTAAAGCTACGCATCTGTTCTATTGTACTGTCAGTGTAAATACTTGGTCTCTTTGAGAAGCTCGGCGACAGCTAAACAAGTGAACAAATGAACTTCTCATTTACTACAGTCAAAGACAGAAACAGAAAGTTAACCGAACAAAATAAACAATGTAAAAACGCAAGCAAATGGGTCCGCAACATAAATCACTGATAAATCCACTATGCTGTAAAAATTAGGCACGTATCAAAACATTTAGTCGTCCTTCGAATCGAATGGCCCTACTTTTTTAATCTAAACTGGTCTAGAATCATTCTAATATATTTCTTTTCCTCTCTTCTGAAATAACTCAAAATAACTGCTAGGTGGGCATCAATCAGAATCGAAGGCATTAGTTGATTTTCACGAGCCCTTTCCCCTTATACCCAGGACTTGACTTCAAAAATAAGTCAGTTCATCCTTATCTTGGCTTAAATGTTAACTATTTTTTTTCAATCGCGAGGCGCACTTCATTTACTTCAAACAACCGTAAGCTTAGACAAAAGAAGACATGGCCGCGTCAATGTCACATCGATACACACGGCTTGACTTCTGGAGTTAGTCAGCTAACCGGTGGGAAATGATTTATCCGGCTGTAACTTCGACAAAGATGATGGCGCTGAATCAAAATTTGGCAAACATAAACAAGTTAACGCCCTTTAAAGCATCACATAGTATGTCACGTGACCATTTTTCGAAAAGTCGTAAATTATCGACCATTTGGTTCCGGTTTAAGGAAAGAAATCGAGCAACAACATTTTTCTTATTCATGTTAAATATTTCTAACACTTCACGTTTGGAATGACTGTCCATTGCCCTTTAAGAAAACATCATGAAGGCAAACATGATTTTAGAGCCTCAAATTTAATCTTTATATATTTAAATCTTTAAATCCAAACGTAGAAAGTTAGGTAAATACGTTTATCCTCTTTCAGAAATGCCAATTTGTTTACCCAAACAACGTAAATTAATTCGCCACCAATTCGCCAATTTCCTTTATTCTCAGTTTTTGCCAAGTAACGTTACTATAATTAAACGTTCAGGCAGCACGATTTAATTTCATTCACGGTAAGGATCAGCTATTTTCACTACGTGGCCGTTATCAAGAATCTGCCTCCTTTTATCAGGGGCACCCAACGACTGTTTTCTGTAAAATATCTGTTCGGAGAAGCAAATACTGCCTGGAATTTTCTATAACTTGAATACGGCTAAAGATTTCTAGATAAGTGTGCCATTCAGGTACAATTTTCGAAAAAAAAATCCCTACGATTTTCTGAAGGCGGCCCAATTCATAAAATGCCTTCGATATTTCGTTAACCGTTCAGTTGCACCTAAAATTTTCAGGAAAATAACACTGACACTTGTCATTTCGAAAAACCTCAAGTTTACTAAGATGACGGAACAGATACGATACAAATTTTATAGCGCCGCTTAGAATTCATTTCTAGAGATGTCTAAAAGTACTCTGAACACTGAATAGCCTAATTTAAAAAAAGAACTTTTCAATGCTTTAAGGAGAAAACGTCGTAATTGGGTGCCCCTGACTTTAAATGGCCTTGAAACCTTACGAGATAGTTATTTATTCCAAGCGGCTTTTTGTTGAGACATACCTTCTGCATGATTAACGGTTGCGAAGGAGGTTAGTGATCGCGAAAATGGCTTCGTCGGAATGAAGGCGGTAACTAATGTTTCACCAAAGAACTACTGCGAGGACAACAGTCTGCGATAACAGGAGCCTCGGTTATTTGGGCTGATCCAACAAACAGACAAAAACTTGCACGGATCCACCTTTCGTTACACGACACCCGAGGAACCGTGAAAGTTTTTTAACGGCAAACAGCACAAAAATCTGTAGCAGAATAATTTATTTTGCTTCAATTCCCTCAAAATTCTTCATGCTTTACGCCTGTTTGGCTTTCTGCTAAAACATTAGGCGCTCTCTTGGGGAGGAGGGCGGGCTCATTTCCCGAACAGCGGCTGGTAATCGAGGCTACTAAAACGTTTGTCCACTTCCAAAGACCTTGAAAGCAGAAATTGTTTACTAAGACCCGAGGGCTGAAGTTGAAGTCTGTGTTCGTGCTAGCATTACTGATTTTTTTAAATTTGATTTTGATCAAGGGCAAGTCTTTGATACGTCAAGAGTATTTGCACAACGCTAAACACTAGTATAAAGGACTCTGGGCCGGGTTGTTCAAATCAAGGTTAAGTTAACCCAGGGTTAGAGCGAAATTTGATTTCAGATATGAAAGCTTAAAAAGCAAATTCAGTTTTGTTCTTTTGCCTACAATTTGATGATAAGATGCTCTAAAAAGAAGAGAGAAAATGATTCGGAAAAATGCTTTTGAACGAAAGAAAAAGAAACACCCGGGTTAAAATCTAACCCTGGGTTAGCGCTAATGGGCCTTCGAACAATTGGACCAAGTTTCAAACTGCTTGTATAAAGATCCTAATTCCTAAATGGGATTCATTTCACTCATTTTCCTAGCCCTATATAAACATTGAACTTAAGAAAAATGTGCTGTTTGGTGTTCAGGAAAATTTATTTTCCTCAATCTTCTACGCCGGGGAGAGGAGAGGGGAATCGTAATTTGATCCGTGTTCTATTGTCTTTTCTCTGCACAGGAAACGGCGCTCTTTTTTTGATTGGGCTTTGCCGTAGGCAGCGTACTAATAACACTTCTGGTAGGTTGCAGAATCTCACGATCTTCTTCTGGCTAACATATGTCACGAATACCTAAATGTTCCTCCTAAGTTTCCTTGTGTGCAGACTCAGAATTTGATGAATCAATTCATTCTAAATCATGTTCAAAGATACTTTTCCAACCATATATACATTTAATGATTAAACCTCCGCTGTTGTAACACATAAAACAAGAACAAACAGACATGACGTGACGTGTAGGTTACATTGCTCTCCTCCATTGTGACCACGAGCATTGACCTTGGAGCCGTACAAGATCATTGTGTTCCCTAAACGGCCGCTGAAACATACCGTCTGCGTGAGTATTCTAACGGGCTGCGAGGGAGGTTAGTGAGAAACTGGCTTCGTTGGAATGACGCGTTAAATAATATTTGGCCTAAGACCTACTGCAAGGACAAAAGTCTGCATGTGTTTAGCAGAAGCAGCGAGTATACGGCTGATCCATGCAATGACTTATGACTGCAATGTTATTGGTAGAAAAAGAACATTGACTTACATAATGTGATTTTCAGCGAGAAATTCATATATCACGCCACAACTTGCCAACATCCAAATGGCTTTATCTATGCATGCCACGTGAAAAATAAGTTTA